TATTGGCTCTTAATCTCAAAATGGATTGAGGATGGGAATAATATCATTAATGATGTCAAATCAGTGGGTGGATTAATGGTGGGGATGGTGGTGTAAAAACCCACAAACCATCGGAGAAGATAGAAACCCACTCATGCTTTTCATTAAAAAGAAAAACCTACCACGATGCTGAAAACCCACCATGCACCATGAACCCAAGAGGCAAAGTGAGTCATCGGGATGTTCCATCCCAATGAGCTGATAGCGAACTCTTACAAGGTGGTACCCCAGTTCTGAATCGCTAAGTTGGTAGACATGGCTCCAATGACTATACTAGGCTTTATGATACATTAATATCATCATATATCTACAGTCAATGGGTTTTTTTAACCAGCAAACAGCACCACTGGGGCACACCACCTTTTAGAGGATCATGAAAACTGGATGTAACTGGTTGAATAATGGGATGTTTTCCATTTAATCATAGTTAAAAACCAACTTCATTCACTACTTAGAGGATCATCCCAGTTAATACGTGGTTCGTAAGCCTGAGGAGTTAAGTCCCCTAAGTGGATGATCCCATGTCTAAATGGATTTCACCACTTACGATTGCCAAGTCACATGCATTGCTCGTCCACTCGTGCGCGAGTGGCTCGCTCCTTTGCTTCCTGCTGTTCCTGGCGAACAGCAAATCGGCATTGATGTGGCCATGATGCCATGGGGTGCAACGGAGGGAGATCTGCTTGAAGTAGCACCTTGGATTATCTATCTATCTATCTATCTATCTATCTATCTATCTATTGATCTGATCTGATATGATCTGATCTGATCTAGTCTTATCTTATCCTATCTTATCCTATCTATATACTGTACATGTCTATATTTATGTATATATATATATATGTACACACACACCTTTTGGTCCCACTTTGCCTCACATTCTTTATAAATGTCAACCCGTTGGCTTTTCGCAAACCCACCTCTTTCAGCTAGATCGTTCCAGATCTTTGTGTTGTGAATTCAAATCCACACTTCCTGTTCCTACATTTGAAGGTCAACCAGTCAACCCGCACAGAAACACCCGGAAACAAAAAAAAAAACTAGTTTGTGGCTGAAACTATCTAACTTCAACGATCCCAAAACTCTCTATGTTTATGGTTTAGATATGCTTAGATATGTTTAGATATGTTTAGGTCATCTTCAATCCCATAGTTTCCTGGTGATTTTTCTTCTGCCGGCCATGCTGGGCCCCGCCGTGCCTCCTGGTTTTGCCGTTGCTGCTCCTGCTCCACCTGTCGTCTCAGCTCATTGAGCTCCTGGTGGGCACATTAGGGGTAGCAACAAAAAAATTCGTTGCGCCAAAAAAACATCGATTCATCCTGATTCAACATAATTCAAGGCACCTAATCACTGATTTTACCTCTATTTGATGCGGAATGTAAACTGAAACCGACTTAACCCGCGAAACAAAACTTGAAACTGAAACAGCAAACATGGGGTTTGTAAGGTGAAGCCCGGAATATATCAACAAAAGTAAGTGAAACTTCATGCCACATCACCAGCCCGGATTCCTCCTGCATGCGAACGACATCGCTGTCATTCGTAGACATCCGGCCACTGGCCGCCTGTCGTCTTGAAGACCGAAACATTTAAAAACAAAAAACAAATCGAAAAGAATCAGGTGTGGTTTCTTATTCGGATAACCACATTAGAATCCTGATTCTTTTCATCATTCACCCACTTCAGTGTCTCAGTTGGGTGGCGGCCAGGCAGCCGCACCTTTCCCTTTCCGCTCTTGCCCCCTTTGCCATTCGTTTTTGCCCTCAGTTGCGCAAAAAGGCCGTCAAGCGTCGCTGCTTGCGATCCGATGGATCATCATCATCATCATCATCATCATCCCCACCACCATAATATTGACCTTAATGAATTAATGACCTTAATGATCTTCATGATTTTCATGATCTCAGCAATGATGACAATAATTGCTGTTCTATGTTACAGTACACAATAATGATGCTAAGCACGATGAGTCATCATTACTGTCATTCTTCCTGCTACACATTGATGACTTATCACATATCAGTAGTACTAGCATTATCATCTATAATGAGTATCCATTGTACATGAGTATGTATCAAAATTTGGTCAACGTTTAGTATTAGCGATTAAACTGTTGAGGTACGCGATTTTGACGCGTACCCATCATATCATCATTGTCACTACCTCGATCCACAATTCGACCAGAAATGCGTTGCATAAAGCATTCCCAAATTGTGGTTTATGTTGCAGTTACCACGTTATCTATCATGTGTCATCATTATGAACCAAATTGTCTTCTCATATATCACATGGTGGGTAGTGGTGGATGATATTAGATATCGTATATGCGAATAGACATATAGACTTATTTCTATATAAGAACATTGTCCTCAATGGATGATTTGCGGCATGGTCTATATATATATAATATACATATACAAACAGGTGTATCATCCCAATTAATACCCAGTGCCCATCATTGTGCCCATGTAATACCCTTCATTGTGTCCAAAATTATCTCAATATTGGTATTGAATCTCCCAGATACTATCCTCGGTAAATATCCCAAGAAAATTAGTCCGTAAACATTCCCCATGTAGAAACCAAAACAAAGACAAAAACTAAAGTCCGGTTCCAACCAAATAGAGATTAATTGCTTTGCTGCATCTTTTTGCTGGTTCCTATACTATCGTAATTCTCATAAGATCAGATAATATCCCAATAAACCCCAGGTAAATACTCCCGCTATTGCCTATATCTCCGGTAAGCGATAGCTACCAATAGCAATCAACCACTTTTCCATCATATCCCTCGAAAATATTCGGTAACATTGCTAAAAATACTTGGTAAACATCCCCAATGAATCAATGAATCAAGAAAATCTTCCTCTCATCCCCCCATATCCTCCAGGTAATCCATAAATTGGCATATAATTAATATATTCCATAAATTGGCATATTTCAGAAATTGGGATTAATATGAATAATTGGGATATTCCAGATTTAATGAAAGAGATATTCCAACATGGATCAAACATCTCCGGATGGTGATCCATCGCCAGCAACGTGGCGCGGCCATGGCGCGGCGCGCTGGAAATCTTCTGCAGCTCTGCAGAGATGTTCGCGGCCAAGCTTTCGGAACCGCTTTCCTATCATCACTCCACTGGGATAAGCTATGGAATTACCATAGTTACTATTATAACTAGTTGTATAAACTATGGATAAGTTATATAACTAGTTATATAGCTCGTTTTTTAAGAGTTGTTTTTGACAGCTATAACTAGAGGATCAGTTAATAACTAGTTGTTTAAACAGTTTTTGTTAACAGTACTAGATGATCCATAGTTATAAGCATAGATCCATAGTTAATGACAGTTATAACTAGGAAAATAACCATAGATCCATAACTAGTTATAAGCCACTCAGTTCACTACTTGGAGGATCCCAGTTAAATGGTTAAGAATACCTTGGTGAACGTAAATCCCCATTTCGTGGGGTTTAACCCATATATAAGTGGGTTATCAATATGGTTATTAACCACTTACGATTTGTGGGATGATCCTCCAAGTATAGCTATGGTTATATGGGAAGTCCCATGTTGGGGCCAATGGAATCGGCTGCTCCCAACACCCAAGGTACGTTTAGGGGTTAAAATGGCTAGATAAAGGGGGTAAAATGACCCATGGTCCCCCATTGTGGCTATCATTCACCTATGGGTCGGAGCATGATGGGTCTGCTGAAAAGATACCCTCTGGTAAACTAACATAACTATGGAAAATCACAATTTTTAATGCGTAAATCCACTATAAATGGCCATTTTCAATAGCTATGTTAGTTTACCAGAGGGTATCCAAATTAAGCATGAGGGAGGATGTTCAATAGATCTGTTGCCACTGCTGAAGTACCCACAGTTTCAATGGATCATTATCATTCTCACGTTATCCCCGTTGAAATTGCCATGCTGGGTGGCATACCATGTTTTCAGCAATCAAAAGGGCTTTAATCATGGAAGTATGTAGGACCAACCATTCTAAGGAGATGTAACTGGATCGAATGGGGTAGATGATACAGGGGATATTAACCACCAACAATGTGGGGTATATAATGAAAATATCGTCCGTTTGGGCAAAGAAACGCAACATTTTGGCTGGGCTAAGTATGGGGGAATTCCAAGATGTACATGTGTTCTCTATGTCTAAATCCGTATCTTGATCTATATCGATGTGTTGTGGCCGTAGATAAACACGTCTCTATGTGGATCTCTATATATATATATATCAAGTTTGAACGGTGTATATGTATGTTTCCTTCGAGAGAGAGGGAGTCATCTCTGATATGTGATTCTGATATGTGATAGGAATCTGCCAAGTCGGAAGCTCCTTACCCCAAGCTCCCAGCAAGTGTATCTGGGCCATATTTTGACCGAAAGTTGGGATGCTTACCTTGTCGGAATAAGCAGTTCCTTGGTGCTTTCCAGGGCCTTCAAATGACAAAAAATGTTGGTTGAATCCCATTGAGTCCCCAAGGTTTTGCAACTGAAATCCTCCTGTGACCCATATCCCACAAACCTCGATCTGTCCCTATCTCTCCCTACCTCCTCCTTGGCATTGCAGCAGCGCAGCTCTAAGCTGTGACACTCTCGCTCCAAGTCGTCGATGGCCTGAGAAGAAACAGCAGGATGGCTCATACATCATGAAATCTTGCGGGTGGAAACCCACATTTCTGGACCTAGAAGATGCTGGGGAGAATGATGATCAATCATGAGCTTTTGTAAATCCCTCATCCTTGGTGAATGGCATGTTCCTCCACGAATGGCAGGTCCTCGCGTTTGTTGTATCAACCCTTTGTTGGTACCCCTTCATTCTTGTTCCTAGGTACCAACAATCAAAAACGCCTGAGGCAGCGGGTTCAGGGCTGACGTGGTGGATCTTAAGTGGTCCCAGCAGCCCACCGTTGCATGGCTTGAGCTCCACACCTGGCGTTCGCTGTCCAGCGCAGCTTCGCTGCCTTGGGCCTTCTGCATCATGACGTCCCGTTGCTCCGAAAGCCGCTCCACCTCCTGGACGCCATTTGGCAGTCAAAATGGCGTAGACATGTACGGAGACCTATACACATCGATATATATATATATATAATTACATATATACATGTAGATCCATCCATATCTCACCTTTCCAGCTCCCCTCGCCTCGGTCCATTCTGTCTGTGCCTGCAATAGAACCTGGCGGCGGCGCGACCTTGGGGAGGTCTACGAAACTTGGCGGCCCAATGGTGGGAATGGCTCATAATTCATAAGGGTTAATGGGTTATAATATTATGCATCATATTTTCCATGGCTAGTCATTGTGAGTAATTGTGAATGATGGCTAGAAAAAAAAATGATGGTCCCAATTGGGATGATAATCATGATTAATTGTGGTGAATAATTGTTAGTACTGGTTAATAATGATCAATAGTTATAATTAGTAAATGGTAATGACTACCCCGAGAAGAATAGGAATACTAATGATTAGTAATGATGATTAATAATATTACCCCAATGATAATGGTTAACACTGGATGATTATGATTATATAATATTACTGTAGCTAGTAATGGTTCATGGTGATTAATGGTGATTGACCACTATTTTTAAGGAGGATTCTACGAACTTATATCTTCTTTCGGGTTGCGATCAGTGGCTATGGAGGCCATTTTGAGTAGTGCGGGGGACCCATTTTTGACCCATAGCCAAATGACATGAATCCATGACAAATAGTCGATTCAGTGTAAACTGTACGATGAATTCGCTGCACCAACGCCTCAACAATGGGATGGGTGGGCTTGGCCGGCCTTGGCCCATTACCCCTGTACGCACTCCCAAAGATTCATGACTTTGGAATGTGTTCACCCAATCATTGTAGGAGTTTTGCCTCCAACACCTACAAGACCACTAGCTGTAGCTTGCTGACCCAGCGGGATCCACCTGAGGTGTTTGCTGCCCAACGTTTGACGCGGTGGGACAAGAGTTGTATCAGCAATCAGAATAGATTCAAAATATAATCACAACAATGATGAATCTGATTGGTTTCACTATCAGTTGTTTCCAATATTCTTATCACTATAATGATGCTGCTAATCTGGTAATAAAGGTGATGATTGTTCTTGTGCTTGTTACAAAATAGTAATGTTGATAATTAACTGGTACTACGAAATACTAGTTTATATTGACGGGTAAGTTCTATGATTATCAGATAATTGACTGATGAATGAAGCATGTAATCATCACCAAATAATATCAATATTGGTTAAAAAGTGAATTCTATAACTATCCGATTATTAACTAACTTTATTTATCAGTTGCCCTCTAACATAGCTATTGAAAATGCCCATTCAGTTCGTTGATTTACCTATTAATAACATGGGGATGTTCCAGTTCGCAAACTGTTAGTTTACCAAAGGGTATCCACATTAAAGTTCCATTGAATATCCATTTTTGATGGTTAAACCCGTTAAACCCCATTAATTTATTGGTATATCCCATTCATATCCCATTAAATCCCTCTAAAATCCCATTGAATCACTATAAAAACCCATTACAGCAACTAACTTTATTCGTCAGTTAATACTATATATAAATATCAACAGATGAATCCCATCTGCTCCGCCTTCAACTCCTCTCGCAGCGTCTCATCATTTCCGCCTTTCTTCGCCATGGCACGCAAGTGGCGTTGCGGCGCCGTCTCGGCGTTTCGACGGTCACTGGCTGACAAGTTGTGATGCGTCAATGACATTGGGATGTTTCATGTTTGATGTTAATCTCCCACATTCAGTTACTATACATGGATTTATATATAATATATAATAATATATATATACATACACTACTATATAGTACTATCATGAATTATGATTGTAAATTGTAAGAATCATCCTCATTAAACCATATGGATCCATTATGGTATAGTCCCATTCAAAATCATCCAGAACCAGGCGGCTGGAGCACTGCTCAGTCAGACAAGAATCATTGTGGGAACACTTCTAGAGATTCTTTTCTACTACAGACCTCCCAGGTATCATCTATGGTCAAGTTTCATCTCAGCCACAAGTTCCATATTCACCGGCCCAGAGACCGGGCTGCATCCCATGAATTGCTTGGCATCGATGTGGGGCTGCTACCGGGTAGAGTTTGGTGCGGTGGAACCCAATTTCTGGGGCCCCCGGATCCATGGGTCGCGCAAGGGACATGTCTCCACTATCAAGGCCGACATCTCGGGGCCAAGGTCCAAGGTACCTAAGGTACCTTGTATTACTTCCTGTTCAGCTTTCTTGGGAAATTGCCACGGATAATTCTCGTTCAACTTTTGATGGGCCGGGTTCTTTTGGCCACGGGCCACCTTGCCACATCAGACCCCAGTCCATCGCAACTATTTTCTTCCGCTCAGAAGTCTAGGATGTACCTGTCGGGAGGGTACAGGCCAGAAAAAGTTTCAAAGGTGGCGGGCCAAAGAGTGGAACTTAGTAAATCGCCTTCAACATGGATCTGTCTGAGAATTTTGGGTCCATTGGTCAATCATGATTTTCCATGTTTTGGATGGCCCACGTTTTCAACGCAGCTGACACAGTGACGACCCCCCATGCCTCAAGGACCTATTTCAGGACGTATCTACTATACAGCAAGAGTTACCTTCTAGATTCCCCCCAGTATTCATCATTTGCAGATGACCTTCCTGATTTTGATATGAGGACTGCTCATTGCCATGTGTGGATTCTCGGAAGGCAAGCCATCCCCACCAAAATCTGATTGCCATCTTTCATCCTTGCCCCAAGAATGTCAAACTCGCATTAATAAACCCCTGGGTTTTTTTGTTGGAAAGGTATCAGTAGTATTACCTTATCACTATGTAGCTGGGATGCCCATCATTAATCAACCGGGGTTCACAAAATCGGCCGTGACATTCCCAAACATCCTTTTCTCGGATTAATAGACCCCGATTCTTGATGTCGTGTGGTTACCCCAAAAAAAAAGTGATAAACCATTGGTTAAAACTGCATATATCACATTATATCACCATAGCCACTATACTAAAGGATACAAAAACAGGGTTGTTTCACCACGCATCGGCAGGTCACTCGTGCAGCACCATCTTCTGAGTCACTTTCCCTCCGCGCAGCTGATCGTCTGGCCCCTGGGACTGCCGGTGGATTGATAAGGTTTAACGGGTTTAACCCATGAAAAATGGTGATTTAATGGAGGATATAATGGGGGTACCCGATAATTTCACAGTTTGATATGGAGAATCACCATGTTTCATAGGTGAAACACCGAACTGAATGGGCCATTTTCCTTAGATAAGTTTAATTACTGAAGAATCCATTGGGTTGTGAGCTTTCTTGGGGGTTCAGAAGACCAAATTTCTGTGTCCCACATGGTCCAGCTTGGTGCTGGCTGGATGCCGATTTGGATGCCGATTGTTCCAGACATCCCTGTGGAGTTGTTTCAAAGATGCGTACCCCGAATTCCCATGGTTTAACACTCTATTTCCTCATACAAATAAACATGTTGAAGTATCCCCAGTTCTACTCTATCCCACTATGTCCCTGTGATATCTGCATGAATGGCTGGCTTTGACACATAAACAGCCACCGAAAAAAATTGACCCCCTTTTTCGCGACATTCCGCCAGTGACCCTTGGGTGCGCGCGACCAGCTGTTGTGGGAGTTCGAAGCCATCAATCATGAAGCGACGCTTGAAGTACATGCCTCACAGAAAGTTCGTGCACTTTCGGTTCTTCTGAGATCGGCTAGTCACAGTTTTCTAGAAAATCGTGTTGTAATATACATGGCTTTGGACTGAAAAACTGGGATGAACTCCATAATTCATGACAGAAAAAGGATGATAAACCATTGGCTACAACTGGTGCTAGTACCTTATTTTCAAACAAAGCCATTAATTCATGCAGTAGATCTGCAGTGTAACACAGCAACCAGTCCCATGTTCGAATCCATGTAGGGATGGTGCTCCGTCAAAGACTGGGCCTTTCCGCATTTTGATGTGCTTTGTGACTGACCACAAGGTTCGCAGTCGACCTTGGCGATTCTGGAGATACCCTGGAACCGATGCAAAGCACAAAGCCACCTTCGTTTTTTCAGGGGGCAAGCCGGGCAAGAGTTAAGGTTTCAAGACCTACTGTAAACTGATCTTGGTACAACTCAGAACTGATGATATGACTTTCCTGAAGGCCTCCATCCCCTTCAAGTCCCATCCAGCATCCCATCCAGAGCTCTTTTTTTTGGCTGCCACTTTGGATTCGCCTTTGGAATCTTTCAAACTCGATGTTTTTTGCTTCCGCCGCAGAAAGGATGGCACCTGTGCAGCCAGGACAAAACAATGCGGCAAGGTGCACATCCTGTCCATCCATTCAGGTCATTATGACATTGAGACAGCATTGAATCGGAAAAAAAATGCCAAAGCTATGACTCTTGGCAAACACCCACAACTCTACAGTTTACTTTTTTTTCTCCCATTTGGAACTACCCTCCAGTCATTCAAATAGCTTTTCGAAAATGGCCCAGTTATAGATGATTTACCTAATACATATGGCAATTTCCACAGCAAACTGTTAGGTTACCAGATTGTATCCCCATTATATCCCCTTAAATTCCATTAAATCACAGTTTTTCATGGTTAACCCCCATCTATCATTTGGATATCCATTCTTGATGTCGTTTTGCAACAGAAAAAACATTGCAAGCACCTGATAGTCCTCCACTGGTGGTGGCGGCTGCGTGATGTGCGTGTTGCTTGGAGGCATCAGGGCCGCAATCCCCTTCTCCTGCGGCGTTTCAAAAACGCAACCGCTGGAATCCAGTGATTTTTGCCGGAAGGTTTGCGCTATACATATATATATATATATATGCATATGTACATATGTACATATATATATATACATACATGTATGTATATATTGTATAATATTATAATTATATATATATATATGGGGATGTGTTAAAAAAAAAATGTTGCATTAATACATGGATGAAATGTCCATCTTGAGGTTGTGTATACGTCACCATGACCCCCAACATGAATGACCTGTCAGTTTTGCAGCCACCAAAAATCTTTGGAAGCACCGCAACGCTGTTGCGGTTGTTGCTTGTTTCAACTGCATTGAAAAATAGTAGTCATGGCAACCAACACCCCAGATCTGGACATTTAAAATCCATGGACCCAACCAGTCACTCCTCAGGCTGGCTGGTAGACAAGCGAACGCTTCGGAAATCCACTTCTTCTGGTTCCTTTGGCGATTTTCTGGTGGGCGTCAACGAACCGGGATTGATAGCTTCTTGAAAAATGTCAACCCATCCAATGTCGATTCTATCCCGTGGTTTATCATCATTTTCCTCAATTTTTCAGTGGCCACTTTAGAGGTATCCCCCCCTGTTCTATGGGAGATATGTAGATACCCTCATAGATAGATACCCAGATGGGGTAGATCATTTTCCCAGGGACCCAGGGGAAACTAATTCATGGCTTCTCAAAGACCCCATTCGCTGCCCATCCAACTTCCGTCCTCGGACTTCCCCATCAGCGAGTCGACGGCAGCTTCGGCCTTGTCCTTCGCGGCCTCTGGGAATGGCTGAGGAGAAAGAGGTGTCTGCAGAGGAACCCCACCAAAAATAAAAAGGGAAAAGTAAAACCCTACTAGAAAAAAAGTGGTGTGCTAAAATAGATGTTCTTGGAAAAATAAAATAACGACAATAAACGTTCTGTCTTGTTGGGAGTTAATGTAAACTGTAAACCATACCGAATGTCAACCTACCTTTTGGAGGGGTGCAAACCTCAAAAGTTGTGATGGTTTACCCTCCAGTATCAAACAAATGGCAAGAGGAAGTCCTTTACAGATGACTGGCAGCATTTGCCAACTGGAAACTTCCAGAGGAATTCCGTTGCCGTGCTTGAGTACCCACTTGTTATCACTTGTTAATATGGGGTTGTGAATCAAAACCGGGAAGGCCACAAAGCCTTGAAACCCTACACCAAGATATATAAATGATGATAAACACCTCTAGATGATTAACATTCTTAAGACAAACCCACCGTTTTTCAATCCAATTCGCCTCTTCCACGGCCATCCTTTCCTCCATTTCTCGCGCCTCCACCGGCGGCAACGGTGCCATTGAATGGGGAAAATGATGATCAATGATCAACCAGTGGATTACCACCATATCACCCTGAACCACACTGCAACACGTGGCTAAAAAAACTGGCATTTTCACAGATATTTGGGGGGTCTGCTTGATGATCTTGATTTTCATCGTCTTCTCCGCTGAGGCTATCTTCGCCTCTTTGGCACGTTCTTCCGCTTCCTTTTGTGCCTCTTTGGCCCTCCTCTCCTCCGCTTCCTTTTCCTTCTTCGCTCGTTCCTCATCCTACCAATGACGCCATCTTGTGGTTTTGGGGCCTTTCGGATGACAATTTCAAGAATGTTGAGCACCTTTTTTGGGGTGCAGGCAGGCAGGTTCCGAAGTTGAACCAAAATGGGTCTGGGTCAACATAGAACCTCCCAAAAAAGTGGCAGTGGTAATTACATACGCACATTGCATTATCTATGCAAACATATACAGTACATGTACATGTAAACATTGGCCTTGCAATTAACATTGACCCTAGCCTTAACCTCAACCTTGAGATTGACGTATTTAAGCTAAATGCCTCCTGAAATGTTCCACCATGTTCCCTTCACCACCCATTGTTCTCTAGTGCTTTTCTGGCCTGCTGTCTCATTTTCTCAAAGACGCCTCACGTCTTCGTTGCTGAAGGGCAAGAAATAAATAGAGCTGAAGAATGCCCAGTAATGCCAAAAACAATATGCGACAATGTATGATCATACCTGATATGTAGCAGTCCAAACCAATGTGGTCTACTACTGCAGGATGAAACACAATAGACTCTTGTCCAACCACGTCCAATCAACAATCTAGCAATCAGTTGACCAACAAACATGGAGGTAGAACCGTACAAGTAACCAGCTATATAGGAGGTGTCATGTTGGATATCTGCCTACCTGCGCAGCAACAATGTTCTGTTAGGATCAACTATTGGGACGTATCTGAAATTGTGGACCCGAGGCATCGTGGCTGATATTCACTGTGATGGAAATCCATGTTCCACTGGATTCAAATTTGCTTTTGCAGGCTGGTTGGACGCAAAAACATTAAAAAAAAAAGTGTGGATCCTGACAAGTATATCTATATACATCACTTTTGTCTCTCGTGGAACAAGAGCACGTGGGATGGTGATGACAATAGAAATATGACATGACTGTTGCGATGATAGATTGCAGTAATGTGGTAAACCCAATGATAAGCACCTTCTTGGGGGATGATTTCAACATATTTCCACTTCCAACCCCCCCATTTCTGGTGGAGTTGCGGATGGTTTATTTTTTGGGAGTTAGCATATTCATCCCATCCGCCGGTAGGCCGAAGGGATCAATAGTGGGCAACCCTGGCTGCCATAAACCTATCATGACTGGGAATGGTTGGAATCCCACCCATCAAAATGGTGATGACTTGGGGATTGATTATTGGCTTTACCATGCTTTACCACATCAATGATTATGAAATGTCCGTGCCACGCATCATTGGGCCCCCTTGGGCGCCTCCATAAGCTTGTCGCTCTTGTTCCTTTCGCTTCTGTCGCAGCACCTCTCCAGGATCACAAGGCGATGGCTTGGAGAACAGTAACTGTGCTCTTGGAGCCGACATTGAGATAGATAGATGTTTTATGGCGTGCCAAAAAGAAAAAACTCATAAATATTTAGAGATGTGTATGTACTTGTCTTTTTAATTTCTTGTGTGTTTCATGTTTTGCATGTTTGCTCTTCTGGGTGGCTGGGTGGCGTCACTTCCGTCATCTAGGGTCATAAACGATGTGATGCAGTTGTTGGCCACCCATCCCAAAAATATCCTTCTCAAGCAGGGTCATCTTCCCATTGTTGGGGTTGGAGTGTGCAAAAGGAAAAACCAGCAACCCGCAATCAATGATTACCCATCACCCTCCATTTCTGGTTGGCCATACAGGTCATAAATTACCACCAAAGTGACCTTCGTTTAATGGCGTTGCATACCATGGTTGCGCAGTCAAAGTTTGACCCCAGAAAACTGGGGTCCTTAGTTCGGCCCCATCCATTTGTTGAGTTGAACAGCTGGATCGGTGGTCGAAGCGGCCTGCACTTTGGCCAGTTGCTGTCGTACAGAAGCATCCTCCGACCTTGGTGGATCTCTGAGGGTACCACCATTGAAATGATTTCACCAAGAAAGGTCAAAGGTTAGTCCGCTTAGTCTCTCAAGAACTGGTGCCTTTATATCTTTATTTACTGCCTTGATCTTGTTCCTACCCACAAAAAATCACGTTGGCATATACCATCCAATGTTGGGATTTCTGCAATGAAGAGGGGATACAAGAAGACATGTCTCACATGATCAACAAAACGATTTAGGTAACAAGAATCGAGTTCATACCTCGGGATCTAAGTCGTAGCAAAACATAAATTCTCATAGAAACTGCTGCGCCCAAAATTTGGGTCGCCAAAAATGACGGCCCCAACCAGGAAAGGGGATTGGAAGATTGTATGAAAATGGCATCAAAAATGGGATGGTTTGTGAAGTGGGGATGGTTAGGACATGCAGTTCTCAGTCAGGTCTGAAAATGGGGCCTACAGTATACTCCAAAATGAGCACAGGTCGTATCCCAGCCAAGAGGATAAAAAACGTGACAGCAGCCACTGAAAACCAGAACCACCCGGAGGCTGCACCAAAATCTTCATAACCAGGGTTTATCGTGAATGGTTGGTTCCGCCTGCTGTAAAAGAACTTAGTCATCATGTGACATGCATGTGAATCCCATTGTTGTTAGGTGATATACTATATGTATGTATATTATACATATACAAGTAATACCCGGCCAAGACAGGGGAGGAAGTTTCAAATTTGAAACGCTTATAGCCTATAGAGCGGAGCAAAGGCTGTGCCTATAGGTGACAGGCAAGTCTCCTGTTTTTCGCAGCAACAAGCTCTTGACATTCAATCTGATGCCATGTCTCTTGAATGTTGTTTTATTCTCATTTCATCTGATCTCATCGCATCTTGGAAATTGCTCACTGCATCCCACTGTCACCGCAATCTGCGTCTTCCCGTCTCATCTCAACTCATCTCATCTCTTCTCAGTTTTTTCACCTTATCTCAGCTCTTCGCAGCTTATGTCTTCTCTCCCAGTCTCATCTCTTCTCAGCTGATCACGACTGTTCTCTTCTCTTCTCATGTCATTTGAGCTTGTCTTATCTCTGTTCATCTCAGCTTCTCTCAGCTTTTCTTAGATGTTCACAGCTCTTCTCAGCTCTCCGCAGCTCATGTCAGTTCATCTTACGTCTTCTCAACTCCTCTTTCCTCTTCTCACATCTTCAAAGCTCTTCTCACACCTCCTCAGCTGATCTCAGCTCTTGTCAATTCGTCACACCTCATCTCAGCTCTTCTCTCAAATCATCTCCGCTCTCCTCTAGCTGAAAACCTGCTCCAAAAACGGATTCTCGGCGCCAAAGCAAGCGACCCCTACGCTTTCCACAAAGAAGATTTGACACAGAGAAGCGTTTACACATAGAACCTTTTTGCACAGAGAAGCTTGTACACACAGAAGTTTTTTCACAGAAAACAGGGAAGTTTTTATCCACAGCAAGTTTTTACGCACAGCTAGTTTTTTCCCAGAGAATCTTTTGTACACAGAAGTTTTTTCACACAGCAATTTTTTACACACACAAGCTTTTACACACACAAACTTTTACACACAGAAGTTTTTACACACAGAAGTTTTTCAACAGAGAAGCCTTTACACAGAGAAGCATTTACACAGAGAAGCTTCTACACACAGCATTTTTTTACACAAAGAAGCTCCTAAACAGAAAAGTTTTTACACACAGAGAAGCTTTTACACACAGAAAACTCTTACACACACAAGTTTTTACACACAGAAGCCTTTACACAGCTTTTACACACCGAAGGTTTTACACACAGCAAGCCTTCACGCAGAGAAGCTCCTGCACAGAAAGGCTTTTACACAGCGAAGCTTTTCACGCAGCAAGCTGTCACACAGAGATTTTGTTACACACTGCATTTTTTTTACACACGGCCAGCTTTTACACAGAGCAAGCTCTTACACAGAGAAACTTTCACACAAACGCTGTTACACACAGAAGCTTTTACACACAGAAGCTATTTTACACAAAGAAGCATTTACACACAGCCAGCTTTTACACACAGAAGCTTTTACACACCGCAAGCTTTCACACAGAGAAGCTTTTACCCGGACAAGCTTTTGCACACAGAAGCTTTTACACACAGCAAGCTTTCACACAGAGAAGCCTCAACACAGAGAAGCATTTACACACAGCAAACTTTTACACACAGCAAACTTTTTGCACAGAGAAGCCTTTACACAGAGAAGCATTTACACAGAGAAGCTTTTACTCACGGAAGCTTTTACACACAGCCAGCTTTTACACAGAGCAAGCTTTTACACACAGAAGCCCTTGCACACAGAAGCATTTACACAGAGAAGCTTTTACCCAAAGAAGCAGTACACACAGCCAGCTTTCACACAGAGAAGCTTTTACACAGAGAAGCATTTACACAGAGAAGCTTTTACACACAGAAGCTTTTGCGCACGGCAAACTTTTACACAGAGGAGCTTTTATACAGAGAAGCTTTTGCACACAGAAGCCTTTACGCATAGCAAGCTTTCACACAGAGAAGCCCTTACACAGAGAAGCTTTTTCACACAGGAGCGTTTACACAGAGAAGCCATTACACAGAGAAACTTTTACACACAGAAGCCTTTACACACAGAAGCTTTTACACACAGCAAGTTTTTCCACAGAGAAGCTTTTACATAGAGATAGGGAAGCTTATAATCACAGAAAGCTTGTACATAGAGCAAGCGTGTGCACAGAGAAGCATTTACACTGAGAAGCTTTTACACAGAGAAGATTTTACACACAGCAAGCTTTTTAACTGAGAAAAGCTGCTGACAAATCATGATCGCAACCTTGATGCAGCCACTGCAATACGATTTTGCGATGTCCAGCTGCAATAGACAATAGTATTACGCACGCAGCCGCGGCGCCAAGCAACCTTGACGCAGCCATTACAATGCGATCAGCAGAGACTAAGTTACAAAACACAATAGAACTACGCGCAACGGCGTCAGAAATTGCAGCTCCAAAACAGGATCTCGACGCCAAAGCAAAAAAGGACGACTTCGAAGCACTTTTTAAAAGATAGTTTTAAAGGAAAATCACCAGCACCAAAATTGATGAAATCTGCTGACAAATCATGATCGCGACCTTGATGCGGTCACTCCAATACGATTTTTTATGTCCAGCTGCAAAAGCAATAGTATTACGCACGCAGCCGCGGCGCCAAGCAACCTTGATGCAGCCACTACAATGCGATCTGCAGAGGCTGAGTTGCAACACGCACTAGAACTATGCGCAAGAACGTTAGCAAAACAATGCTTGAACTGCCCGTTCCCCTGCGCGGCCGATCCGAGAATGATCCCGGTGCAAACGAACGTGTTCCGCAACCGCCCGCCGGACAAGCTTCCCCATCCATCTTCCGGGACACATTTTGTCCTGCAAAACACAGCATTCTGTGCATCCACTAACTCTCAAAAACGCATTTCGTGCGAGACTTCCCTCAAAAACTGAAAGTGGAAGATGTGACAACGAAGCTTTCGTGCGAGACTTCCCTCAAAATCTGAAAGCTGAAGATGTGAAAACGAAGCTTTCGTGCGAGACGTCCCTCAAAAAGTAAGCTGAAGATGTAAAATTTTCGTGCCAACCTTCCCTGAAAGAGTGAAAGTGGAAGATGTGAACACGAAGCTTTCGTTATAGTGGTGATATTATGATAGTGGTGATATTGTGATAGAGTTGATATTGCGATAGTGGTGATATTGTGATAGTGGTGATGTTGTGATAATGGTGATATTGTGATAATGGTGATATTGTGATAATGGTGATATTGTGATAGTGGTGATATTATGATAGTGGTGATATTGTGATAGTGGTGATGTTGTGATAGTGGTGATATTTTGATTGTGGTGATATTTTGATTGTGGTGATATTGTGATTGTGGTGATATTGTGATAGTAGTGATATTGTGCTAATATAGTGATAGTGGTGATATTGTGATAGTGGGCAAATTGTGATAGTGGTGATATTGTGATAGTAGTGATATTGGGGTGATATTGTGATAGTGCTAATATAGTGATAGTGGTGATATTGTGATAGTGGGCAAATTGTGATAGTGGTGATATTGTGATAGTAGTGATATTGGGGTGATATTGTGATAGTGCTCATGTTGTGATTGTGGTGATATTGTGATAGTAGTGATGTTGTGGTGATATTGTGATAGTGGTGATAGTGATGGTGGTCATGTTGTGATTGTGGTGATATTGTGATTGTGGTGAAATGGTGATAGTAGTGGTATTGTGGTGATGTTGTGATAGTGGTAGTTGTGACTCGTACAAATCCGTTAACCGGAAGTTAGACTTTCAAACTTCCTTTGATTATCTTATATATATACATATGTATATATATGTGTGTGTGATATATATATATATATATTATGTGTGATATATATATATATATATATGTGATATATATATATATGTGATATATATATATATATGTGATATATATATGTGATATATATGTATATATATATATGTATATATATGTGATATATACATATATATGTGATATATATAAATATATGTATATCACATCATAGCAGATTCCCCATCCCGATGTTTTGCCGGTGGAAGCCCACCCTGGGTGTCCCTGGCATCTGTGCCGCCAGCTTCAGATCTTCATAGGCGCCATCCAAATCACCAAGCTGTTGCTTGCCAGCTGCACGGCGATAGTAGGCCTGGCTGGGCTGCACGGTGAAACTGTGGGTAGCCCCTAACTCAGGGATTCCAGGGGTTATATTCATCCATGGTTGACATGAAAATCATAGTGTATATGTGTATATATATATATATATATGTAATATACACATAGATTGACGCCATGAGATTGGATTTGATACTGTGCTTTTGATAGATACGCATCAGGTTAATACTTCTCCAGCCACTCGACAGCCACTGGCGCTACCATTCCTTCTCCACCGGATCCATTTGGAAAAGTGGGATCCGAATACACCACTTTTCATGTGCTCTACGAGATATATCATGTCATGTCATATCTTATAAGATCAGATCAGATCATGTATAATAGATATAGACATATAGACATATATATATAATATAATATATATATATATAAATATATACTACAACATATACATAGTCAGCCCAAAAAAAGAAGCAGCAATTTGCCGCCTTGACGTTGGGCTCTTCGGCCAACACGAGATCGCACAGCCCAATCGCTTCGTCGAAGCGCTCCCTGGCAACGGGGTTTTCTTAAGGTATCAAAGGCAAAACAAATGCTAACAATGGTGATTTCACAACAAAAATTCGGATCTAACTAAGAATAACTGGTGGAATTAGTCAACAACAAGTGTGATTTAAACAACCACGATAAGGATTTACTGGGCAAAAATTGGGATTTAAGCTTCAAAATTAGGAGTCTCACCAGTGATTAGTAGATTTGGGTCTGTCTGAAAATCGGGGATAGCTGAATGTATGGCCATCAACTAATGGGGAACATGATGGGGAAACATCAAATCTTAGGGTGCCTTCTTTTCAGACAAACTCATATCAATCTTAATGATAATGAGTATGTTGTCATATCATCCTACCATACTACAGTTTTTAGACTTTTGACTTTAGGACAAAGAGTGCTGGTTATCCAATAGAAATGTAAACCAACAAAGAAGCTGGGGACATAACTGCACAACAGCAATACCCAAAAAAGCAATGTAAATGACCCATATAGTTCACCAAACGTCACAAGAGTTGGGCAAATGTTGGGGAAATACGCCCTAGTAGTACAAAGGATCAACATGGAAAGCCCTCTAAAGAGTTTGGGAAATTCTTCTACAACTGCAAACAGAAACCATTTTGAGGTTCCATGTTTGTGGAAGGGGGTTTCTCATCATTAGCTTGAGGTTACCACTACCATCACTAGATCACCAGCAGAACTGACCCAGCTGCCACGGCCTCCGCAGCTGCGCCTGTGCACCGTTGAGTTGCAGAGCGATCCGCAGCCCCTGCCCTTCATCGCAACCTGGCTTAGAACCAGCTGGTTTCATCCATCAAACCTGGATGGTTCATGGATGTTGAAGGAAGTGAGGTCACTGTGAGGTCGCTACACTTTTCTAAAAACTGCAGAAGAGCACAGGGATTCTCCCAGAACCAAATCATAACAGATTTAAACCTCCTGTACCAGTCTGGAAGTTTGAGCATACTATTCTTATTGGCTAACTGCTGGTTTCTGCACTACTCAATCCCACTTTCTCGACCTTCTTGCCGAGTTCATCATCACATATCTTTTTGCAGCAACTACCCTGTCAGATCGGTTTAAGGGAAAAATTCCAACCCGCGCCGGGCCCCCCTCCACTTCATGGCTATTCAAATGCCACGTTCCACTCTTCCGAAGAAAAACACTGCAGTGAAAATCAGCTACCCTCAACCCCCAGCCCAAAGGTGGTGCCCCCAAATACACAAGTTGGTTTATGACCCAACTAGCTGGACAAGTGCGATATATCTACCCTCTGGTAAACTAACATAGCAATGGAAAATGGCCATTTATAGTGGATTTTCCCATTAAAAATGGTGATTTTCCATTGCTATGTTAGTTCACCAGAGGGTACCATAAACCCACCAGTGGAGTTAGACCCCCCAGCACCTGCCAGCGCTGCGGCCCCCTCGGCATAGCGCCGCACGGCCCGTGCCAGGCCGCCCACCTCGCCACGCGCCAAGTGGCCGTTGCCCTGGCGACGAAAGAATTACAGCCGTTCACCTCGAAAAAATGGGAATATTGCACGGCCGAAAAAGGAATTTACGTGTTGAGCATCAAAAATAGGGATGGCTGGTGATCATCTGCAACTTGTTTTGCAACAAAATAGCAGGAGAAGCCCCATAAAATGCATGGTTTTACACGCTCATGTTCGATGGTAAAACAGTTTGATGGTTTTAGGGGTTTACCATCAAGTCACTATCATGAATCCACATACCTATACCCCAATATTTAAGGCTTGTCTGAAAATAAGGTATTCCCATGCTTAAGAAAATAAGTTTCCCTAATAGAAGTTATCTATATTGGGGTGTATACTTAATTTATGGTACACCCCATTGTCAGGTCCACACGTAGATTGGATATAGTTAGCGTTCCCATGAAATATCCCCAGTCACATGAATTACACATTTTGATGGGATAGAACTGGATCAAATATCCCATCAAAGATCAAATATCCCATCAAATATCCCATTCAAACTACCCTCTGGTTATTTAACATGGCCATGGGAAATGGCCCATTTATAGATGGTTTACCTATTAAAAATGGTGACTTTCTATGGCTATGTTAGTCATAACCAGATGGTACATCCAGCAGACTTCAGCAGGCCTGCTCCTTCCTCCTCTGCGCAAACTCCAGGCGAGCGGCGTCATCCGCAAAGTCGCTGGCTTCTGGCGGGTTGATGACCTGGCACAAAAATCCACTCTCAGCACCTGGAGCTACCCATTGTGTGATGTTTTTTGCGTGAAATTCAGAGGAAATATGTATATATATATGATTATTATTATTATTATTTTATATGATATGATATGATATGATATGATATGATATAATATAATATAATATAATATAATAATATATATATATATATATTATATGTATACATCATGTACATCAAACATCATTAAAGCACCTAGTGCTCAATACTCCAAATAAAGATATAAAACCTTGAAGCTTTGGATCCGATCTATTAATTTTTGGGAAGCTTTGCAAGGTGTTGGCAGACAGGTGAAAAAAGATCCGTATATAGATTATGTCTATATTAGACAAGATATTTTTATATCCACATCGAATATGCACGTTTTTTTTTTATGTATAGATAGATACATATCCATCTTTTGGGGAACCACAATTCCTTTTAGATGGCATTCCGCACGGCATACGACATCCCCATTTGGGGCACATTTTTTGCCATACGACCACACTTTTGGACTCGCCTCGTGCATCACCAGCTCAATCCACACATCAGCGCCCCTGAGGTTTCTCTGGTGTCAGTGAAAACCATTGGAAAACCATAGGAAAATGGGAAAATCATAGGAAAACTATAGGAAAACCATAGGATAATGGAGGTTTACCCTCTGGTAAACGTTTACATGACTATGGAAAGATCCACCATGTTTCATGGGAAAATCAACTATTTCGACTGGGCCATGTTCAATAGCTATGTAACAAATTACCAGAGGGTAGACGGAACATGATATGACTCAATGAATCAACGCCATGTCGGGGGCACATCTACACCGATCTGTCGTCCTGATTCACCAGTAGAGTCCCCAAATCCCTCATATTCCTGCTGATGTCATCCCATTTTGGCACAATCCCCTGTTTCTTGGTGAAATCCTCCAGTTTCATCCAGTTTCTTTCACTGGTGAGATCCCCCATGTTTGCTGCTTCTATGCGATTTTTTGCCTGGTTCGATTTGATTTCTGGTTGGTTTAGAAGTTTAGAAAAACAAAAAAAGAAAATCCACGATTTTTTCCGGTGAAATCACCACGTGTCCACATGAAACCACATTTTTTTCCGGTGAAATCACCCCTTTTTGCCGGTCAAAAAAACCGCCGCATCCTGGGTGGATCCACCCTCCCGCCTCAGCGTTGGGCTTCCTGCGGGCATCAGCGCACCAAAGCCCCAGCGCTCGGAAACTCGGAGGCATCCAGCAGCACCGGCCTAGGGAAGATGTCGTGTATCTAATGTATGTTTATATAATATAATATAGCATAGTAGAACATAATATATTATATTAAAACCAATGTCATATTATATTACACTGTACTATATCTTATTATATATCATATCAAATCATATTATATTATATCATATTATATTGTATTATATTATATCATATCATATTATATGATATTATATTATATTGTATTGTGTTTAATATTATATCATATCATATCATATTATATTATAGTATATATTATATTGTATTACATTACATATAATATTATATATATAATGTTGTATATAATAATATATATATAATATTCTATATAATATTATATATTATTTGTTATATTTATCAAATATTTTTATTATATAATGTTATATTATATACTATATTATATATTATCTTATTATCATTTTTTATATTATATTAGTTCTTATATATCATATTAGATATTATATTATATACTATTTTACTATATACTATATATTATATATTATATATTATATTTTATATATTATATATTATATATTATAAATTATATATTATATATTGTAATTTTATATTATAAATTATATATTATATATCATATTATATTATATTATAATATATTATATATTATACTATATTATATTATATTATATTACATTATGTTTTATTTTATATCTTATTCTATATATTATATTATATATCATATTATAATATTATATATTATATTATATATTTTATTACAGATTATATTTTATATCATGTTATATTTTGTAGTATGTTATATCATATTGTAGTATGACATATTATATCATATTTGTATATTATATTTCATTATAATATAAAGTATAAAAAGAGAAACAAACTTAACATCATAGTAAAATATAATATTAAAGATATAAGCTAATAAAATAAAATATAATGTAATATATATATATAATATAATGTAATATATATAATATAATACAATATAATAAAACAATACAAAACATTTGATATAATATAGTATGATATAATACAATATATAAAATAATATAACATAATATAGCATCAAAAAACATAATATAACATAATGTAATAAAACATGAAACAGTATAATATAATAAAACATAAAAAAAACATAAGACAATACAATATTATAGAAATATGACAAAATAATAATACAAAAAATATATATGCTATAATATCATATCATATAATATCATATCAAATAATATCATATCATATCATAGAGTAAAATACAATATTATGTAATATGATACTATATCAGACCACATAATGTAATATCATAATATCATATAATGTGATATAATATAGTATCATATCATATCATAAAACACAATACAATACAATACAATACAATATGATATCATAAAAGATAAGAAAGTGTAATATAGTACAATACAGTATAGTATCAAACAATATAATATATTAAAAAAATAAGAATACATCACGTAATGGAACATTTTATAATGTATTATGATATAATATGATATAATGTAACATAACACACTATAACCTAATATAATATGATATGATATAGTATAATGTAATGTAATGCAACATAATGTAATGCAATATAATATAATACAGTGTAGTATAGTATTAAATACATATATAATATACATATATACATGTATATATATATAGATATACGTAATACATGCTTTCCATATTGTATATGTCACATATGTTCTATGTGTATGTATATATATATATGTGTGTATGTGTGTATATGTATCATGAGATTTGAAACGGTATACATAGACATATTGCTTTATAATAACCCCATGTTTCTGCTATGTATATAATCACATTTAGCTACATCAACTCTGTGTATATATGTATTGAACATGATATGGGCATCCAAAAAGGATAGAACCGTCATCTAACCTGTATTTCACTTGTCATGTACGTTTTTTATCTTTTTGCTGGTTGCAGCATATCAAAATGCAGGGTGCCTGTGCATATCTTTTTCAGGAAGTCCAACAGAATCCATGGAACAGGGAGGAGTTGTCCATCCTCCAATCTGCAGGTCAGGGGAGTGACCAACAAATCACATGCTTAATTACAAAGAAAAATCCAACAGAAAAAAATCAACTTACATCCAGCATAAAGTTCATGCTAAGTCTTTTTTAATACAACTTAGAACAGACGCTTTTTCAGGCCTGCAACTGCTTGAGGCCCATCTCCAAGGGAATCATCAGCTCATCCTGGAGCCCATCAACGGTTCCTACTCGGATTATTAAAAAAAAAAAAAAACATTCACCAGTGATACCCTCTGGTAAGCTAACATAGCTATGGAAAATCAATGAAAATCACCATCTTTGATATTTCATAGGTAAATCAACGAACCAAATTGCAATGTTCAATAGCTATATTAAATTACCAGAGGGTACCAACATTACCAGGAAGTATAAAGCATTCGAGTTCTCAATTCTTGAGGAATGTGGTAAACCTGGTAAACCCAACCATCAACCACAATCAACCACACCTCATGTACAATTGTTTACCCTTTTGATGGTATTAAAAACGAGACCCTAAGAACCAGGTTTATCATTGGGTTTCTTGTAGATGCCACATTGAAGAGAGAAAAACCTTTTAGATGAGGTTGGAAGGGATCTGCATGTTTTTTCCCATGACCAAATCATGCTTAATCACCATGTTTCATGGCCAAAGCATGTTTTATTACCATTTTTCTCCACATTTTTATTGGTATCGCCACCTCCGTACCTTCCCTGGAACCCAGACCTCATCGATCACCAGCTGCACCGCAGCATCCTCCTCCCAGAGATCGTTTCCTGGGAAAATGCCATGGTGTCCCAAAGAGATAGATGTTTTTTGCCATATCTTTGTATGCATACATTGCACTACACTACACTACACTACATTACACTTACACTACAGTACACTACATTACATTACATTAACATACATAATATATATATATATATACAAATATATATATATATACAAATATATATATATACAAATATATATATATATATATATATACGCGATATACTATTTTTGCAGGGTCCAACTGTTTTATCGATTTTTCACGGTTGCCATGAGCCATCTTTTGGGATGATGTTACTCACTCACTGATCATGTATGTGGCATCCCAGTTGGTACGTGCTTAGCCATGGTGAAATCTGGACCGCAGTTAAGATGGCTGCTTGACCACCTCAAACCGGGACGACACACGTTTTCGGGGATCGGCAAAACAATTCCATGGCCCAAGACGAAAAATCAGCATGTCATCTGCAGGCCTGTAGGAAAATTCGACCCGTGTCCTAAGTATCGATCTAGCAGTCTAGCAATTTTTTGGATCATCCTTTTTTGGGCACGTAACTATCATCTTTTGCCAAGAATGCATCCAGGCTGTTCAATAGAGAGTAGATAGATTATGTTATGCCGGCAAGAGACCCCAAACATCCCCAAACAGTGTTGGAAGGAACATGAAGAAAAGAGACTGAGATACCAGGTTAGATTCTGCAAGGTCCCTTTGCGAAGAGCTCTGCAGAAGATCGTGTACAAGATCTCCTTGACAGGTTCTGTAGAAGCTGCTGTGCAAGATCCCTTTGCAAGGCTGTCTGTACAAAGTGTCTGTGGGAGTCCCCAGAGAAGATCTCTGCAAAAAATCTCACAGTTCGCACCTCGCCACAACGAGAGAGATCCGACACGCCCAAAGTGACGAGAAGGTTGCCCGAGTGATCTCAAAATGAGCACCGCGCCACAACGACAGCGATCCGAAAACGTGACGAGAGGGTTGCGCGAGAGGTCTCCGAGCACACCATTTCATGCGAGACATCCTTCGAAAACGGAAGATCGAGGCACGTTTGTGCTGTAAGGGTCACCAAAAAAAAATGGCGCACACGTATGAGACCACCTCGACTAAACACCAGGCCTCAACCATTACTGTACTGTAAGAACCCCAAGTGTGGCCACACTGTTTGGGGAACACCAGCCCCCTCGGAGTGTTTTCAACCTGACCTTACCTGCATCCCAGGCATCCCAGGCATCCCAAGCATCCCAGGCATCCCAGGCATCCCAGGCATCCCAGGCATCCCAAGCATCCCAGGCATCCCAGGCATCCCAGGCATCCCAGGCATCCCAGGCATCCCAGGCATCCCAAGGTCCTGTGTTCATCACCAGCTCCCCGTTGCGGGCGAACCACACGCGCCAGGCGGCTTTCACCGTGGCAGCATCTCTGGGAAGGCCAGGACCGGTGGGCGGAAGCAGCGGCGCCCCATGGAGACGCCTGTCATGAAGGGCTGATGCGAGGTCCCAGCAAAGGTATCTTTGTTATGTGTTATTGCTCTCTCTCTCTCTCTCTCGTTCTCGTTCTATATATATATATATTATAGATATAGATAGATATATATATATATACATAATATGTATGTATACATATACATACAATTACAATATATATATATATATATAATATTATATATAATTATATTTACAATTATATATAATGTTATATAATTATATACATATATCATATACATTATACATAATTATATATAATTTATATACTGTATAACTATGTATATAATTTTATGTGTATATATATAATTATATAGTTATATAAGTATATATATATATATATATCACTTTTCCACATCAAACTTTAGACTCTTCGATTGACTTTCTAAAAGGTGTCGGAAGAATTGCCCAAGTTCAGAGTTCCAAATCCGTTGACCCCGAGACTTCCACGGAATCTGGAGGTTAAAGAGACAACTCAACCTGCCCACCGAAAAACCAGATACGCTTCGCATGAGAACCAAATCAATGCCGCATAGTGTTTCGGATAGACATGTATTGTAATGGCACTTGTACCATAGCAATGAAGATTCTCCAGGTATGGTATTGCAGGTGTACACGTAGCCAAAACCAAACACCAAATATTGCTGGGGGTTCCTAGTTCCTGGCAGGCTTTTCTGAGGATAGAAATGCACCAACACACAAAGCTCCATGGAATCTACCAAACCATAAATAACAAAGGAATACCAAGGACATGTTCAGGTTCATTGAAATAAACACATGGCTGAACTTATCCCGACATCCATGCTGTGGGCACCTGAACATCACTCCATCTGGGAGCAACATAAGGCCCTGCTGTACCGAGACCAAAGAGACTTGCAACGGGGAGCCTCCGCAGCTTGCCATGCCGCATTGATGAAGAAACTGATGATCCAACGAGAGATGGAATGGGGCACTTCCATTGACAAATCCTGACAGTTCTGTCCCTCATCAATTAGGGATTGTCATGAATTCTACCTCTCCCTTGAAAAAGTCACCATTGAATCATGGGGTTGTGGTCGCAAACATTTGTGTATATATAATATATACATACAAATACAGATACATATACGTACATGTACATAAAACATTCATACATAAATACATAGAATATGTATATATATAGAGAGAGAGTGAGAGAAAAGAATCTAAGAAAGAAAGAAATAAAGAAAGAAAGAAAAAAGAAAGAAAAAAGAAAGAAAGAAAGAAAGAAAGAGATACGTATACATGCATAGATC